GCATACAACTGGCTTCTGCAGGTGGGCATTACACCTGACTCAAACTTTTCTTTCAATTCAATTTCTTATTTGAACTGTACCGTGAGGAGGTTCTCAAACAATTTTTATTGTCCCTTCGTCATTTGCATTCAACACTGAACTGGATACGCCCTGGTGTTGTTTACATTGCGAATTGGCAATCATTTATGTGCTCAGTTTTGCTTGTTTTGCTGATTTTGGTGGTGACATTTGTGAATTTGCAAGATTACTCTACTCAGTGGTACACAGAAGAGGAGGCAGCGCAGACAACGCGCTGCAGCCAGAACAGCCTGGTATCAACATCGCACGGGTCAAGTGCCTTTGAACAAGCTGGAACTTCTGCGCATCAAGAGTACATTGGCAAAGCACCACAGTCGGGACTCCAATTTCATTTTGACAATACAGAAGCACATCAATATGGATTCAGCAGATTTATATCCATGGAAATGCTCCCATTGTCAACGAATCAACAAGAAGATCGCAACCAAGTGCGTGATGTGCCATTCTCATTGGACATCAGGGACCCGTCACAAGACGGAGCCGAAGCAACAGCAGACCTATCAGGCCACTGCGTATCGGGATGCTTGGCCGCCACAACAGAGATTCGACTGGGAACAATGGGAGGAATGGGAAGCGGAAGATCGCTCCTGGCAGTGGCCGATGCCACTGGACAGGTCGCAGAGCAGATCTCAGAGCAGATCCCAAAGTCCTCGTGCTCGCAAAGGCAAAGGACTTGGGAAGGGGAAAGGCAAAAGCAAAGGCAAGAGCAAAAGTGGGGGAGATTCGAAGGGAACAGGAGAGCAGAGCACCTCGCCCTTCGCTCCACTGACTGCCAATATGCCAACATGGACATCAGAGGATGGTGCAACTGCAAGTTCAACTCCATTCGCAACTGCACCTTCCAATTCAAGCCTTGTCGAGATCCTTGCTCAGAAGAAGGAGTGCATCGCAGCCCTCAAGAATGCTTATCCGGATGGCAGCAACATACCACCGGAAACCAAAGAATTGATCGACAAGATCGAGAAGGAAATCGAGAAGCTCGAGAAAGACAACAGCAAGCTGGTGACCAAAAATATTCACTCAGCTACCAAGTCTTTGGGCAAGGCACAGAAAGCTCTACAGGAGTCAATGGATGCAAAGAAGTCCCATCGTGCCAGATGGGTCAAACATATCACCGAAGCAGCCACGACTTGGCAGGCACAGTTGCTGGAGTATCAAAAGCAGCAAGCTGCATTCCAAGACGTGATCATGAAATCCAAATCGGACATAGAGACTGCCAAGAATGCCATTCAAGCACTGTCATCGACTGCATCACAGGCCCAACTGGCGGCGATGCCTCCCATCACACCTTTCTCGGTGGAGCAGGAAGATGGAAGTGGCGAAGTCGATCCAGAAGAGGAGAAATTGCAGGGGCATCTACAAACGGTGCTTCAGAACTGTGCGGCAGCATTGCAGGCAGAGACTGTGCCACACGAGAAAGAGACGGAAGATCTCACCATGGAGGACGACGAACGAGACAAAAAACGTCCACGTTCCATGACGCCCTTTGGTGGACATGTGCCTGGTGGGGAAGTTGCCAAGGACTGAGGGATGGCGGTGTCACGTCAGTGCTGAGCCATGACGGGCATGACGCCCTCTGCGAGACAGGTATGGTTGAGGCCTATGCATCCTTGCCAGGGATGTGTGCAGCAAGCCCTTACCTGCTCACCGATTTTGACATTCATCGATTTTCTCACTGGCAACATTCCATACAACATGAATATAACTATCTCAATCCTTTTGATGCAGTTTTCTCGGCATGGAAGCTCAGTTGGAGCACATTGTCTGATTCCTTTGATGATTTCTTTGCGCCTGAAAAGCATGCTCAATTGGTTGATTTTTCTTGTCCTGCCCAATCAATCCCGATTCAGAATGAACATGGATGCACCCAACCTGTGTCAGAGCTCCGTAATTCGTGCATGCTCCACAGTAGTTTGCGTACTTGCATCCGTTCAAATGCCGTAGCAAAATCCTCATCTCCAAGTGCAGTTAGATTTCATGATAAGATTTCTATCTATGTTGGTTTAGAAGATGAGCTTGCCATGTTTGCCACCACAATGGATACGTTTGAGCTTGCAAATTGGACTGGCAAACCTTGGTCCAGACGACCCCCAAAAGTTTTGGCGGGCTCCAATGACAGCCAATCAGAATCACCATTGTTTCTGGAACGAAGACTGCGAACCACTGATCAGTATCATAACGTTCCATCAACATGGCTCAATATCAATCAACCGCAACCTGATGAGCACGATGACCCAGAAGATGCTAATCATTTTTTGCATGAGGCCCCTGATTCCCTGCAGAATTTGTATGATGCGCTTTTTGCTGAAGGAGTTGTGATTGGACCGCGCATTCATGAGAGCATTTTCTTGCGTGCCTGGTTTGTTCATCATTTGCAGGCACCACAGTGTTTTCATCCTCGAATCATTGAAATAAATGGACATTGGAGACACTGGTTCAATGACATCATCTCAGCCTGGAGAGATCGCATTCTGCCGTTGGAACAAGTCATTTTTGACATCGTGCATCCAAATCCACCTCGTACAGGTGTTGCACATGAAATCTTATTTGACATCATTTTATCCCAAGGCATTGATGCTCCGAGAAGGGCTGGACTGGTGTCCATTTGTAAAAAAGATGACCCTGCACAGAGAGTAGCTTATTCTGTTGCTGTCTCATTATCTGAAACGACCAGTGGCCATCAGATCATTCAACAAGCCGAGTATCTTCATGAGTGCAATTTGCATGCATGTTCCATCAGAAATGGTCGAAATAGGATCCCTTTCACTTTAGAACCAACACATGAAATGCAGGATGGAGATTCATTCATTGTTGTTGTTCGAAGCCTGTCCAGCTCTAGTGCGGTGTCAACTACCACCCAGAGCAGTGCTGCTGGTGACCCAACTGCACCAGCTGGTGATCCGACACATGACCAAAGTGTAGAGGCTGCCCCTGCTCAGCGGCACAGTTCTGCTGGACCTGCTCATGCACCGCATGTCGCACTAGATGACAGTGTGACACATCGACCTTGGGTCTCGTTCAAAGGCGCCGAACTGGATCAGGACATTGACGTGCCCATGACGTCGTCAAGACGAAGGCCAGAACGACCTCCAAGACCTACCCATGATGGGGACGAAAATTGGTTCTGGGAATTTGGCCAAATTTTCTCACAAAATGCACGAGAAGAGGCATTTGAAGGTGAATACTTCCTTTACATTCAAACATGGTATGTTGATCACCTGAGACGACCTGTGTGCAGAAGACCCAGACCCATCAGATTGGACCATTATTGGATCACATGGCTTGATGAATTTACGTATACTTGGAGGGATGAGATGGTTCAAAATGCACCCTTTTCTGTATACATTGTCAAACCTCGGCCACCTCAGTATCGGCATTATGGTTATGCTTGTCATATCTTGCTGGAACAAAATAGGGCCCCAGGTCAGGCTGCTGGAGTTCTGACTGCCCTTCTTGCCGGATACACAAATGATGGCATCATCCAAGGTGCTTTCTCTATGCCTAGACACATCAGAAAACAAGATGTGATAGACGCCCTTGAGATTGAACCTTTTTGCAATGATCGCCGTTGCACAGTATACCACAACTTGGACATTATGCATCTTGTCGTTGCGACTGAGGTCACTTCAGGATTCAGCATCAAAGTCCAAGTTGATTCACAGAATCAACAAATGCCACGTCTCCCTGAGGATCCACCAGAAGAGACACAGGGATACTTTGATGATCTTGCATTAATGCAACAACCATCGACGGCTCAAACACCGTCGCAATCAGCATCCGGCAGTTCTGCTGCACCGACGGCACAAGCATGTCCAACTTTTCAATTTAATGTGAACGCAGCTGTTTTCCAACCCGGCCGAGCTGCTCCTGTGGCAAGTGACTTGATTCATGAACTTTATCTTGTCTGGACCGCTAGGGTTTTCACATGGGAAAATGAAGCTCCGGTAGCTCCCATTGTCACGTGGTTTGTCGATCACAGAGGTCATCCTGTATGTACCCAAAGTCGTCGGGTTTACCTTGATGATAACTATCATGATTGGGAGGCCCTCATTCGTGCAGCATGGCATGATTCCATTGAGCCTGGCATGCCACTTGAGATGCACATTGTCGAGCCATCACCACCTGTAATGGAGCCCGATGTTCTTGTTCATGTGATTATTGTCCAAGCGCCGAGGGAAGAATGGGTATCTTGCCTTGTCACTGTGTTTGATTCATTCATAAGTCGTCGTGAACATCATCTCATGCGCCTAGCTGTGACAACCTTTGAACATATCCAACTTGATGTGGTCCTACGCAACTGTGGTTACGTTCAGACCAATGTGATTCAGTATCAAGGATGGATCAATGGTCATCAAGTCCAACAGGACCAACGCTGGCCAGGTCGCTCGGGTGATGAAATCACTGTGCGAATCACAAGACAGGTTGTCGCCATGCCTCCAACTGTAACTGATGATGCTGCGGCCATGTTACAGCTCCCACACAAACCTTTGACGTTGCATGACAAACTGTTTTTGGATCGCCAAGTTCCGATCAATTTGATTCATGTTGACCATGTAGGTGTGATTCCAGATCGCCTCCCTTCACATGTACTTGTATCGGATGAGCATTGTGAGCATGATGTCCAGAGGGCGCTTCAGGAATTTGACCAGAACTGTCATGCTTACTGTTTGCCCGCAACTGGATTTGCACTTGTTTTGCCTGCTATGTGGTGTGCTCCAGCTCTGGAATGGCACTACATTTATTACCCATTGAAATTTCAAGACCGTTCCGAGATTGTCATGCACAAGGATGACCATGATTTGACTGAGCATGAGCACATGGTTCTATTGCACTCTCTTGGATTCGAACGTGCAGTTGTACTGCAAGAACGCAGGCCGAAGTGTCAATTTGTCCTTGTTCAATACCACAACAATGAGCCAGCTATGGATGATCCTGTTCGGAAAGATCGAAGCCCAACTGCCTGGCCTAAAAGGCAAAGCGTGACACCACACCAAAAATTTTTCCAGTTGCCTTCCAGTAACTCCGATGAACACAAGCACCTTTTGACATGGGACATCACTTTGACGGAACTTCAAACCTTTTTTCTATCTGGTGAGACGGTCCTTTGCAATTGGCATTCACACCTTCAAGTGCCCGATTTTGTCCGTGCAGCCCTGAATCAGTCCACGGAATCTGAAGGCTTGACATCTAATTTCAGTCAATTTGACCGTCTAATTATTTACACGGACGGGAGTTCCAAGCCGTCAAACCGCCGAAAAGCGCCTTTGTGGGTCCAAGAGCACGATGTGCCAGATGCATGGGCTTTCATTGTGCTTGGTGAAAAGTATGGTGAGACTGAGGACAGCTCGACCATTTCCTTCCTTGGATGGCATTCGCAACCCGTTTTGTATGAATCATCCTTGCCGCATTTTCTTGGCACCGATGCAATTGGGTCCGAATTTGCGGAAAGAGAAGGTTTATTTTGGGCCGGAATTTGGAGGTTAGGTATTGACTCAACCATTCCCACTGTTTTCAGAACGGATTCAAGCACTACTGCGAGCCAAGCAGCTGGAAATACCAATTGCCATGACAATCACCCAACTTTTGTTTTGTTGCGCAGTGTCTTTCAGACGCTATCAGCAGGACTTGATAATGATGGATTGATTGTGGATCATGTTGCAGGGCATGCTGGGGACGCATGGAATGAGCTTGCGGATCACCTTGCCAAGACTGAGGCTGCCCAAGGTCACAAGCTCCGGCGCCAACAAGTGGACCTGCGTCGCTGGGCACCCTTTTTGCCATATCTTTGGATGGCCATACATAGGGATGCCGGTTTGCCTCCATTGCTTGCACAGGGATTTGATGTTTCTCCACCGGAGTTACCGCTTGCACTGCCTTCACAGGACGACAAGCAAGTGCCACCCCATCGCATCTCAGCCCATTTTGCACTGAGCTTAGCCACTTTCAATGTTGGGTCGCTCTTCACTGGTCCTAATGGATTTGCTGGAAAATTGCAATATCTCCGAGAGCAGATGAAATCTTTCAAGCTCAATAATTATTCTCGGGATACAAGAAGCCAGAAGCCCGGCTGGTATGAGCGTAGCTGACAATGTCTTGCGACTTGCAGGAGGATCGCGCCGTGGTCAGTACGGCATTGAGATCTGGATTGACCTAGCACAACCAATCAGCTTGGTCAAGAACAGACCACAATTCCTCAAGAAATCTCATGTTCAAGTAATCCATGCTGATCCACGTAGACTCCTTGCTCGAATTGATCATCCAGCCCTGCGTTGCTATGTCCTTTCTATGCATGCCCCACAGAGTGGACGTCCTCTCAGTGAACGTAAACTCTGGTGGCAGGAAACTACAGAGATTGCTGCAGCACATTGTCATGACCACCCACTGCTTGTGTTGATTGATGCCAATGCCAAGAGTGGACCGTGTAATCCACCAGTTGTATTTGACAATGATGACAATAGCTCAGCCAACACTGACTTCTTCATGCACTTTCTGCAGATGCACTTGCTGTGTCTGCCTTGCACCAGTAAGATACATTGCGGGCCCAACATGACATGGACGGCACCGGACAGATTGCACAGTCATCGAATTGATTATGTAGCTGTCCCTCAGTCTTGGATTTCATCATGTACTTATTCTGGTGTGCTACAAGATTTTGATCAAGGGAATGCTCATGATGACCACCTTGCTGTTGGTCTCCAACTCTGTTGGCGGGATACAATTGAGGTTCTGCAAAAAAAGGCCAAAAGCACTTCTTTTCAACGGAATGCCATTGGTCAGAACCGCCATCAAATTGCATGTGAGAACATCAAAGCTGACCCTTGGCTGACTGACATTGAAACTCAGGTGCAGCAGCTCAATAGGAATCTGCTCAAGCAAGTTGCCGATGCCTGTCCAGTTGCACCATCGATGCCCAAGAAGCCAGGCCTTGACGGACCAATCTGGGATTTACGTGGACAGAAACTGGCTTTACGTAGACGACTCCGTAGTGCGTCTACTACCAGTTCCATCACACAGCTCAGGTTGTTCTTCCTGCTTTGGAAATCCCCTGCCACAGAAGTTTGCATCCTTGAACAACATTTTGCATATGAACACACCAATTTGTGCACACAGATTAGACTCCACTGCCAGTACGTTGTTTTGGCTCGTCGTTTGAGAAAGCAATTGCGGCATTCCAAGATCCAAGCAATCCAAGCTGAGATCATGTCGCTCACTGAAACTGCGCCTGCTGGAGAGATTTTGCATCGTCTCAAGCCCTTTCTTGGATCCACCAACCCCAAAAAAGTAAAAAGGGCATGTCTACCGCTGGTGCGGGATGCGGGGGGACAGGTCTGTGGGACCCCTGAAGCTGCCCAGCAGAGGTGGATACAATTTTTTCAGCACATGGAAGGTGGTCAGCGTCTCACGACGGAGGAGTTTCGGAAGACTTGGCTGCAAAACTTGGAGAAATTTCTGCATGCTGATAATTTCCAAGTCCCGATTCAAGAGATGCCGAGTCTTGTGGAGCTTGAAACTGCATTCCGACGGGTCTCTGTTGGGAAAGCCATCGGCATGGATGGAATTCCGCCTGAACTTTGCCGATTCAAGGCATGTGACCTTGCCAGATTATCGTACTCTGTGATGCTCAAGACATGCCTATTTGGCCAAGAGGCGATCGAGCACAAAGGTGGGCGACTGGCCATAGCTTGGAAGCACAAAGGCGATCCTGCTGATTGCTCATCGCATAGATCACTCTTGGTTTCCAGCCATCTAGGTAAGACCATTCATCGCGCACTGCGACAGAAGCACCACTGTTTGTACACCAATTTCATGCAAGGCCAACAATTGGGGGGGAGACCACACATGCCTGTTGGGGTGCCATTACACATGACCCGTGCATTCCTACGATGGCAACACCGCCTCAAATGCCCAGCATCGGTGATTTTCCTTGACCTCACCGAGGCCTTTTATCGAGTTGTCAGAGTTTTAGCTGTAGGCGGTGACCTTGAAGATGAACATGTTGCCTACATTGCTTCACATTTGGGTTATTCACCAGAGTCCCTGCATGAATTTGTCCAACAAATCAGAGCGCCATCAGCCCTGGAGCAGGCAGGTGCTCCTTTTCATGTTCAAAGGTTCATGCAGGCCCTGCACACCGACACATGGTTCACCATTGGTAACCAGCATGATGTTGTACGAACAGAGCAAGGGTCGCGACCAGGCGACAGCTACGCTGATGTAGTGTTCGGCCTGCTTTGGGCCAAGCTCCTGCGTACTTATGAATCAAAACTGATCGAAGCTGATGTTCTGACGCATGTGCCAGATTTAAAACATCCCAGTTTGTTTGGTGTTGCCACCGACATCACCTCATCATCCCCGTTTATCGGGCCAACTTGGATGGATGACCTAAGCGTATGCATTGCTGCATCCTCGAATGCAGCCCTGCTTGCCAAGACAGGTACAGCTCTGAGCATCCTCATTGATCTTTGTCATGAAGCACACATGCAACCCAATCTTAAGAAAGGGAAAACAGAAGTCATGCTCTGTTTCAGAGGCATTGGGTCGCGTGAGCTTCGCAGGAGATATTACTCTCAAAATTGTGGCTTTCCGGTTGTCTGCGAAAGCAAAACCCACCATATCTCTGTTGTGAGTAGGTATCTTCACTTAGGTGGTATCCTGCACCACCGGACAGTGACAAATGCTGAAATTACCAGACGCCTGGGTATCGCTCATCAAGCATTCACACAACACCGACGTTTGCTGTATCGTAATACTCAGATCCCATGGCAGAAGCGCAAGGAGATGTTCTCTACGCTTGTGCTTAGTAAACTGATGTATGGGTTTGAATCGTGGACATTCGAGACCCAGCAATGTCGCGACCAACTGCACTCTGGCATTATACGATTGTATAAACGCCTGATTGGAAGTTGTTTTGCTGAACACTTGACTGATGAGGCCGTGATCATTGCGGCGGGCCTGCCATCACCAACTGAGCTTCTCCGCTGCTGCCGCCTTCGGTATTTTGGCACACTTTTTCGGTGTGGAAGCGATGCCCATTGGGGGTTACTGCGGGAAGACATCACATGGATCTCGCTGATTGAAGATGATTTTCGCTGGCTTTGGCGACAACTGTGCAACAATACCAGCTTGCCTGACCCGACCTTGCATTTTCCGGTTTGGCAAGATCTATTGATCCATCATGGAGGGTATTGGAAAAAACTCCTCAAAAAAGGGGCTGCCCATGCTTGTCTCCAAAGGGAAAATGAGGACATTGCCATTCAGATGCACAGAAGAGTTGCAGACATCCTGCACCAGCATGGATGGACTCCACCCCCACCGAGGCCAGTCCAGCAAGCAGTCCAGACATCCATTGCGTATGGTTGCCTATATTGCATGACGGCCCACTCCACTAGAGCTGGGGAAAGTGCTCATATGTTCAAGCGCCATGGCTTCCGAGCCTCGGCACGCCGACTTTTTGATGGCACCTCCTGCCCTAATTGTTTGCGAGAATACCATACCAGAGCCAAAGTCCTAGCGCACCTGAGACATGCACATGTTTGCAGGCAGAGCTTGATAGGCAGAAGGGTTCAATGTGGGGTCACCCCGGGCACAGGATCCATTGTTGATCGGGAGCTCCACGAAGCTGTCGATGGAGCGGTTCCATTTCTTTATGGCCAAGGGCCCCATTTGCCTCCTCATGTCCGTCAGGATTTTGTGCAGTACGATTTGGAAGTTTTGGAAGCCATTTACCTTGGTTTGGTTGACATGGAACCTGGCATGGATCCCCTGTCGACGCTGAAGCAGACGATCCAACAACAGCCGCTTTGTTGGACCACATGTTGTCACACGTTGCGACATTTCCTTGAAACTTTCACGCCTGAAGATGCTGAACCTTTATGTGTCACATTTGAACAGGTTACGACATGCATCAATTCCTTGCTCAAGGTTGATCATTGGCCTTTTCTTGTTGCGCAGAAGCAGCCTGACTCATTGTCAAGACTCCGACTTGATGAATGGGAAAACTGGTACGCCGAGCTGGCAACTGAGCCCAGTGGCAACAGGGATCTGCCACCAGCCATCCCCAGACTACCTTGCCGTTTCAAAGTTGTGCTTCATGCATACGCTGGAAGGCGTAGGCGGGGTGACATTGAGTGGTATATAAGTTCAATGGCGGAACAGTTTCCAAATCACATCATTGTGACTGCATCTGTCGATATTGTGATTGACTCACAATTTGGAGACATTTCGAAAGTTGCAACACGTGACTACTGGCTTTCACACATCAAGAATGGGCATGTTATTGCTTTTATTGGAGGACCTCCATGCAACACTTGGAGTAAAGCAAGAAACATTGACCTAGGTGATTTTCATGGACCCAGAGTCATCAGATGTCCGGATGCCCCCTGGGGCTTGCCATCCTTGCGCATTGGGGAATTGAGGCAAGTCATGATTGGAACGCTCCTCTTGGGCTTCGCTTTCGAGTGTATGGCGGCACTGGCCACTGTGACAGGGGTGGGTCTACTTGAACACCCCAAAGACCCAGAGAATCCCCATTATGTGAGTATATGGCGATTACCAATTTTACGGTTGCTGCTGACTTTGCCTCGCATGAGACTGATCTCGCTCTCCCAGGGACTTTTCGGGGCCCCTTCTCCCAAGCCTACGACTTTCCTGGTTTTGGGCATGGAGACGCTGGAAATGGACTTGCATCGACATCGTCTTTCAGGTCATCTTCCTCAAGGTTGTTCCATCGGCAAAGATTCCAGCGGAAATTATCGCACGGCGCCACTCAAAGAATATCCTCCATCTCTTTGTTTGGCCATTGCAACTGGAATATGTACAGACGTCACTAGCATGGATTGCAGTGACCCAACATTTGATCCTCCATCTGATTTCATTGACCGTTGTAAAGGCATGAGAGACGTGTCATTCGATGGATGGATCGGGCATGACGGATAATCCTCCGAACTGCCACTTTGAATTTGAGCTTGCACCGTCGCAGCGTGGAGCGCTTCAGAGTACGGGAGGGAAAAAATATATAACTATATATATATAACTATATATATGGCAATATCTATAACTATATATATATATAACCATATATATTTATGATTATATATCACTATCAGATTTCCGTATTTGTTCCTGATCCCACCACCTGGCAGCGCTCTACCCATCACTGGAGCGTACAGCTGAGCTGTTCCGAGATGACTGCGAGCTGGTTCTTCGAGCGGCAGTTGGCCACTTGCTCAGTGTATTCTCTGACATGGGGATTTCCAATGGATGGTTTACAATGGAAAATCCATCTATAAATGGATGATTTAGGGGTACTATTTTAGGAAACCTCCACATGGGCAATGTTTGGGGTAACACCATGACTACCATGTTTAATGATACATCATGACAATGACTGTATTTGATAGTTATACAGTTATACAAGTAATCCAAGGAAGTTTAGAAGTCAAACTTCCGACAATATGGACAGATGAAAAGCAGGGCAGAGGCAGAGAGAAGAGAAAGATCAGAAGAGAGAAGATCAGAGAAGAGAAAGAGTCAGAAGAAAGCAGATGCAGATGCGCGAAAAGGTAGGAAAGTCGCGAAACACTGTGTTTTTCCAATGATTTGTCGCTCCGGAGGGTCGAAAAGTAGGCTCGCTAAAGCGGCGGGTGCGGAGCCAGCTGGCCAGATGAGAGATGAAAAATTGCACGCCGTTGTGGCGCGAAGCACATTTCCAAGTCAAAATGTACAAAACACTAGGGGTGCGGACCATTTTTGGAAGTTGAGATGTCGAAAAAGTGCACGCCGTTGTGGCGCGAAACACATTTCGAAGTCAAAATGTACAAAACACACCAGCTTCGGACCATTTTTGGAAGTTGAGATGTCGAAAAAGTGCACGCCGTTGTGGCGCAAAGCACATTTCGAAGTGAAAATGTACAAAGCACACCATGTACGGACCACTTTTGGAAGTTCAGATGTCGAAAAAGTGCACGCCGTTGTGGCGCGAAGCAGACTTCGAAGTGAAAATGTACAAAACACCTCAGCGTCGGACCACTTTTGGAAGTTCAGATGTCGAAAAAGTGCACGCTGTTGTGGTGCGAAGCACATTTCGAAGTCAAAATGTACAAAACACACTATACGGACCACTTTTGTAGGTTCAGATGTCGAAAAAGTGCACGCCGTTGTGGGGCGAAGCACATTTCGATCATTTCGAAGTCAAAATGTTAAAAACATAAGGGTTTTGGGCCACTTTTGGAGGTTCAGATGTCGCTTCGCTTCGCTGCTTCACTACACTACATTACACTACACTACACTCCACTACACTACACTACACTACACTACATTAAACTACACTACACTCCACAACACTACAACTACAACTACACAAGTACACTCCACTACACTCCACTACACTAAATTACACTACACTACATTACACTACACTACATTACACTACACTACCTTCCACTACACTTCACTATATTGCACTACACTACACTCCACTACACTACAACTACAACTACAACTACACAACTACACTCCACCACACTCCACTACACTAATTTACACTACACTGCACTACACTACATTACACTACACTACATTACACTACACTACCTTCCACTACACTCCACTACACTACAACTACAACTACAACTACACAACTACACTCCACCACACTCCACTACACTTACACTACACACTACACTACATTACACTACTACACTTCACTACTATTACACTCCACATTACACTACAACTACAACTACGACTACACAACTACACTCCAATACACTCCACTACACTAAATTACACTACATTACACTACACTACAGTACATTCCACTACACTACATTACACTACACTACATTACACTGAATGACACTGCACCACAGATAGACAGGTAGACAGGTAGACAGGTAGACGGATAGACAGATAGACAGATAGACAGATAGACAGATAGGCAGGTAGATAGATAGGTAGATAGATAGATAGATAGATAGAATGATAGATAGATAGATAGATAGATAGACAGACAGGTAGACAGCTAGACAGCTAGACAGATAGACGGCTGAAAGAGATAGATAGATAGACAGACAGACAGACAGACAGATAGATAGATAGATAGATAAAAAGGTAATTAGATGAAAGAGAGAGAGAGAGAGAGGGAGAGATATAGATCGATAGATAGATAGATACATAGAAGATAGATAGGTAGGTAGGTACCCTGATTCACCACAACCAATTTCTCCTATAGGTTTCCTATTTTTGAAACTTCCGCCACCGTCTTGTGTGGTACTACTGGTACACGTATCATGGATGATGCATAATCATATTGTTGTCAATGTTTGTCACATATGTTATCATGATATTACCATGTTATTATGGTTATTTTGGTGTTTGATCATCATTATGTGTGTTTCTACTTAATCATTTTTAATTACCTAATATTTGAGATTTATTGTATAATATGTATATAATATATATATATGTGTGTACACTGGTGATGTCATCATTGTATGTTGATCATTCTATGTCTTGTGTACTGTGTAGTTTTAGAATAGATTTACGTCTATAGTATATATTATGTATACAAGGTGGCGCCCTCCAGGTATAAGTTGGTTTATACACTCCATTAATTATAAATTATATTTACCATAAACCATGCACAATTATTGAAATTATAAACCAACTTCGCTAACGAACTGGCACACCACATTGTAGACACCATGTGTGGATGATGACTGATGATTTGAATAGGGAAAAAACAGGATGCGAATTGGACATCGCTCCAGGAGAGATGGACAATGGATGGACAACGTTGCATTTGGCATAATGAACCAAAAAAAAACCTGCGCGCACTGCGCACCCATCCGATGAAATATTGGTTTATCAATTCCTACTGGGTGACGCCAAAATGGTACAGAAACAAGATCTATTCCATCCTGACATTGTTTCATTCGATGTGGTTTTGTTATCTTTATGTGGCGTAGCAACTGGGTTAACATCCATTCTTTATACCATGAGAATTGATGGGAAGGGATATCGTTCAGCAAAACTTCTGGATCCAAGTAGTTTGATCATCCAAGTGGCCACAAGGCACGTTTGGAGTGTTTGGTCTCCATAGGCGGGACGCGGCTGTAGCGCCGGCGCCGACCCTTCGACTTGGTGTCTGAGAATGGGGCATCAATTACTGAACCCTCTTAGGGAACATGGTTATTAACCATGAAAGTTCCATGAGGTTTCCACATGTTCAGACCCAAAAGCTTTGATACCAGACACGACCAGCTTTATGACTCCCTTGGCGCGAAAATTACTTGATCCATTGACTTGATTCAAGACCAGTTCTGTAGTCCCATGCACAGGGGACCCTCAAAATGATTCCTGTAGATCCACTAGGACAGGGTTTTATGTGGGGAATGTTTTGAAATTTTGCGGGGAGCCACACTCAGAAAACTATTGAACACTTGGAAACCTGGAACTCATGATCGATTTGTTCCCCTTATTTGAGATTAACAAGTTTTAAAAGCAGGCCGAAACAGCTGCGTCTCGGTGCCTGATGCAGAGGCCGACCTGGTTTTTTGGGTACCCTGGCCGAGTCGGTGTTTTAAGTCCTATGGCATAGATGGATACTGTCACTATAATCACTATATATATATATATATATGTGTGTGTTCGAACATGTTTTTTTTTAATACACGCAATAAAATATTCTAAGCAGCAGAAAAGAAGAGCAACTATAACACTATTATACACTATTATTTGGCGGGTATCAATGGCATGAAATGAAATTATCGTCAACTTTGGAATGATTTCTTTCATGAAACCATGACTCAAGGGTCAAGCGATCAGGTCTTGCGGTGATTATTCAGAGGTATAGCACGGCTAAGCTATGCGAAGCCCTTGGTGCCATCACTGATGTTTTTTCGTCGCGTCGCTAATGTTTCATGGAGATGGGCCCCTGATTTCGTTCCTGACTTTGTTTTGGTGGGGTTAAAACCGGAGTCAGACTTGACCAAATATCTCAATGTTCATAATGTTGTTGAGTTGGATGCCTTAGATGATACACAACAGTAACTTCTGAATGATATGTGGGGGTGAATGCTTCGCCATTCAAGAAGACTGCCCGCAACTTCACAGCCAAGGATCGTCTCCCAATCCAGTCAAACGTTCGGAATTAGTCATTTTCATTATTGAGATATCCATCCAATCTTACACGTCTTACACATGGATAGATAATGATAGATATAAATATAGATATAGATGTAGATATAGATAATATATAATAATATATAGATATAGATAATAGCTCAAAGCTAATAACCATGCCACTTGTGAGGTACACTAAAAGTAGAGTAAACCGGCCCTTCGCATGTACCATTCTGGAGGGCCAAGGCATGACTGTACTTGAAATGATGTTGAAATAGTGAGGATCCAATTTACGCGAGCAGTATCTGTGAAGCAAACCCTAACCCTGTCAAGTAATATCAAGTACAGTTTTGTCATTTTGTAAGTTAATCTCCATTTTTGCTGGTTTAGATCTTAGTTTTTAGGGTCACATGGATGTTTCTTAATATGGGGGTACCCCAAATCATCCACTCGTCATGGACCATGTTAATATTGAAATTCCATGGGAACGTGGGGTGAAAGCCATGGAATTTTCAAATGGGGATTTCCCACATCCCACTTATCCCACATCCAAATTTCGGCAGCTTGCGCCGGTAGCCCATCGCCAGGTTCGGCCCGAAAACTTTGGACAATTGGTGCATCTGAGTGGTCGGGCGCTCCGGCCCGAGGCATCCATCCAGGAGCCCCGGGTGTGGCCGTGGCGACAGTGAAGTGGGCCAAGTAGTGGATATGGCTTATTGATTGGATGATATGGATGATATTAGAGATAGTTTATTGATGTTTATTGAATAATGATGATGACATACAGTAATGATGTTAGTCATTGGGATTTATATATATAATAAATGTTTTTTTTTTTTATGGTTGATGAATCAATGATGTTACATGATTTTGGTCATTGGGATGCCCGAGGACTGCTATTTCTTTCATGATCAAACTCACTTGGGATACCCTCTGGGAATTTAACATAGCTATTGAAAATGGCCATTTATAGTGAGTTTTCCCATTAAAAATTGAGATTGTCCATAGTTATGTTAAATTACCAGAGGGTAAATCTAGCAATGAATTAGCAATGATTATCCAAATACAGACTATGACAGGGATCCGGGATACAGAATGACTTGAGGCCCAAATGATGACGATTCATCAGGCTGATCAGGGGACCGACTTCAACACTGACCCGTTTTTCAAAGGATTCAAGTAGCCTTTTCAAGGTAGAATTGGAGGAGAGATTCTTCAAACTGGGCCAGTTGAGAAAACATGAGTTGACAATAGTTGACAATTCTTCTAAGTTGATGAATTTCTCAGTCTATCCATTCCATGTTTCTTTTTTCTTGGCTTTGAAATGGGTATTACAAGATCATGTTGAATCAGGTTCTCAGTTACTCAGTTCAGGGCTTCAGAATGTTAGGTCTCACCAAAAAAAAGGTGTTGAGTTGGTCTTATAATCCCACCAGCCTAATATTTTCCACACCCCATAGTCATTTAAATGGTCCCAATGGAATGTGGAATTTCCCTACTTTTTACCATGGTTTTTAGGGGGGTACGTCACTTTCTGAGACCAGGATCCCAGGTTTTCATGCAGCAAACTGGGCAACTCCTGCACACGTCTCCGCACACAAGTTCAGGCCGGCTTGCAGCACAGGGGCTTTAGCATGGTTTAGCATTGACGACAGCTTTTTGGCATGCTATAGCTGTTCTGTAACTGGATTTTTGTGGATACCAAGATAGTTGGTGTTTTGTTTTTGTTTCACTGGATGGGTTCAATCCGAAAACAATCCATCGACCGGCATTGGACCGGCTCGCAAGACCATCCTCGTGCCACAGGCCTTCCAGTGCGACGGTTCGGTCACCTGAGGGGCAAGTCGGTCAGCAATTCACAGGTCATCGATGCCATGAAAAAGAATGAGAGAAGAACCATTTAAAGTGGTTTCCTAAAAGCAGGAGTACCCCCCAAATCATCCGTAATGATTTATCCTTAATAGTTAATATATATGTGTATATATATAGTTATTGCTATATATTTAGTTATCAATATATCCTTAATAATATCCGTAATGATATCCTCCATTTTAGTAAGATTTTCAACGATGGACACCACCATTTTCTGACCCATCTCCAGGGACTCGCCAAACGCTGCGCCCCAAGGTGTTGCAACGAAATGGTCGGAGGACGGGTTGTGGTCCTTCGGGATCCGATGGTTGATGATGGTTGATGATGATGATGATGATGATGATGATGATGGTAGTTTTTGTTAACCAAGATATTGGTGAACCCATTGGAATATGATGTGATATATATATATATATATTGATGTGATGTATCCCCATTCATGATCATCATCATTGTGAACCAAGATATTGATTGTGATATTCAACCATCATGATGATGATATTGGGGAATATCACATGAATGGGGAATCCCCCACCAGTTTTTCTTAAGGGACCCGGGACAAGGTTTGAACACTGCTCACATCTTGACGGAACTTGAACTCCCATTAATATAGGGCCTTGGATTTCCAGCATGTACTTTGGTTCATGTGCTGGAGGTGCAAGATGCGTTTGACTATCCTTTGGAATTCATTACATATAGTCTATAGTAATCAGTAATCACATCCAATCTCTTCCAATCATGTCCAATCACCATGTTTGGATATTGCTGACATTTTATTGATTAGTTCCGTGGCATTCCGTGGCTATCTTTGCACTACCCCTTCTCACATCCCATCCCGGTTAAAACTCAGATGCATTTGCTCTTCGTTTGCAGGAGATCTCTGGAAAGGAGTCCTCACCATCGATGCCTGTTACTTTCCCCAAAAGTTGAGAGCTTGTCCCCTTCCGACTGAAATGACTAACATGGGTTTCAACAAATCCTACGATTCCTGTGTGCCAAAAAATCTCAATGGAACAAACCGGAGTAGGGCTGCGCTGAGAAGCTCACGATGTTTGCTGTATCTTGGTGTATTCACAGTGTATTCTATATGTTTCCAGTCTTTCGGAAATATTCTATATGATCGGTGGTCAGGGCACACTACGGTACGCGTACACCATGGAAGGTTCGGTATGTGGGCCTTATTTTGGTGAGTTTACAAGACTTGACAAGTGAACACCTTATTAAAGATGCTGAACAAATCTGAGTCAGTTTTGGACTGTGCGTCAAGAAGAAGAAGAATACGTGTTTTGTTAACACTGTTTGTGACTGGCAAATTCTATATCGTTTCCCAGACCTAGGGATTGGGTATTTTTTTGACCAGGAACATCCGAGGGAAAAGTCAAGGGTAAACCGGTAAACCGGTGGTGTAAATGGACTGTAAATGAAGGACTTAATTATAATTAGAAGCTTAGATCGTGAGAGTTCTTCAATCGGAGGAGTAAGCCGGGGAATCCCCCGAATGATTCAGGTCCTGAGACTGTTTTTTTCCATGAAGATCCCTACTTTTAGAGTTGTTTTCATTAGTTTTCTATTGGGGGAGCAGTGAATTACAAGCAAACCTCGAACCAATGGATTTATTTCCTTTTTAAAAGATGATCTGGGGGGTTGATTTCCAATGACCCTGGCCCCTTCTGACAACTTCTGCACAAATGAAATATGAACAGAAAAGGTACCCCGCCCCTGCTTGTCATGGTGACTTATTTCTGTCATACGTTTTTTTTACTAATTAAGGACGCTGGATCGATATTTAAACACATCCAACCAATATCCTTTGGTTTGGAGTTACGGAGTTCAGACTTGTTTTCACTAGTTATCAACCATACCTGAGGATACCTGGGATTCCCAGAGACTATGCTTCCTAGTTTTAAGATGTTTTAAGTACCAACCATAACCAGTCCTGTTCGCCGCTCGCCATTTTTCAAGGTTGGAACCACCATCTCCAACTCAAGCTCCGCTCGGATCTAAGTGACCTGCAGGTCCGGCAGGTCCGGCAGGTCCTAGTCTGCTAGGTTTCACCGAGTTCTCTTTGAACAATTTCAATGTTCAATATAAATATACTATATATATATAGTTTATATATTGTTTGCATATAAATATATGTTAATGTGGTTTGCATGTTACTAGTAAAACTGTTAGTATCAGCAGTGAAGATGGTGACAATTCCATGCAACAAATGTTAATTTTGTCACTTACCAAACTGATTGGTGATTTCGAACAGGTGTTGTTTTCCATCCCCGAAGATGGGAGGATTTTGGAGTTAGATCTGACGAGAGCAACTTTCCGTGCGATCACAGTCAGGGTTGGTTCAGTATGTCTTACTTTATTGTTTTCTTGTTTCCCAAGACTCATGATTTTAAACAGTTGGAGGATTTTTTGGGTCCGGAGAGCTTATTCATGTTGGTCAAGGGTAGTTTACTACACCAAAGGCTCCAAGACGGAAATGCAAACGGAACCACAACATTGGTCACTTTGAGTATTGAATCATATACATCTACGTTTTTGGGGGTATAGACTTGAGCAATTTTGATGTACTGTAGTTGCAATCTACTATAGTTTTTTTTTTCCCCCCCCGGATACTGTATCTGAGATGTATTTCTATGTGCAAAAAGTTGGTGCTGGTTGGCTTCAGTATGTTTTGCTTGAGACAGCAAAGGAAGGTACATGTTGTTGTCGTTGTTTTTGGCTAGTGTTAGGCACATTGAATCAATCTCATTTTCCAGGACTCCATATTTTGTTTGCACGGTCTTCCACCAGCCTTGAACAACTTTCTGGGTGAGACTTGCCAAACATGCTATAAAACTCTATAAAATTGTTGCTACAAAATGAAGACCATCATGGAGAGCGGTTGCTTCCCTTATTTTTTGTCCTCGCTCAACGGCCAGCCCGAGGTCAGATATGGAGCCAACTTCTCTTTGCCCGACGGTTTGCTGGATCAGTATCTGGCCCAAAAGTTGCTGAAGGATGAGACATTGCTGGTGGTGAAAATGGGTTCTATGGTGGCCATTTTGATGAGAAGCTATCGTATATCCCAGCTATGAGGCTAAGCTATCCCTCAAACTCGACATGGAAATCATCAAGAATAATAATTAGGGAAGTCATGAGGAATCAATTCCATACTCATTTTTTTTGAGTGAAACACACCTATCCTGTGTAGTTTGGATTTTGGAATATTTTACACACAGACTTAGTGTGCTTGCTTGGGGAAGTAGATACCTAAAAACACGTTATCAATTGACAAACGCACTTTCTCTTAAGCAATGACCAAATACAATCAAATACATACAACTTGTAGAAACTCCTTATCCGAAGCCAGGTTTTACTAGTAACTAGTAGGGATCAGTTCTTCCTAGTGAGTTGAACCGGGGGCACCTGAAAAACATGATTTGGGAAGGGCAGACTGGTAACTATGTAAAATGTTCAAAGTGGTATAACATGTTTAAAAAAATATAAATGATATTAAATCAAAGTGGTATGCAACTACAAAATATTACCCTCTGGTAATTTGTTACATAGCTATTGAAAATGACTATATAGAAATAGTGGATTTTCCCATGAAAAATAGTGATTTTCCATAGCTATGTCAGCCATTACCAGAGGGTAAATGATGTTCAAAACGTCGGACACTACGGACGTCAACATTTTTGGTCCAGGAAGGACATCCCCCGTGACGGCGAGTGGTCTCAAGGACATTTATTCATCAGACTTAGGACATTCCTGCTTTCTTCGATTTACTAAAATCATCTATAGTAAATTTCATATATTATGATATATATATATATATATATACATTTGTGTATACATATACATACATATATATATATATATAAGTCCGGATCCCGGATCCCTGGCCCCCCCCCCATGGTATGGTCCCCCAAGCTCACGCTCTCGGGAACACGGGACACGGGACCATATATACATACCTACCTACCTACCTACCTACCTACCTACCTACCTACCTACCTACCTACCTACGTACCTACCTACCTACCATACATACATACATACATACCAACATACCAACATACCAACATACCAACATACCAACATACCAACATACCAACATACCAACATACCAACATACCAACATACCACCACAGGCCACAGGGGGGGGGACCAGAAGAACCATACCACCACCACAGGCCACAGGGGGGGGGGGGACCAGAAGAACCATACCACCACCACAGGCCACAGGGGGGGGGGGGGACCATGGGGGGGGAGAGGGGGGGGGCTTGGGAGTCCTGGGTCATATATATAGTATATATATATATATATACACAGTATATACACGTATAAATCTATCATTCCATCAACCAAACATTATAAACATCCCCAGAAACCATTCTAAAACGTACACGACAAAAAGCCCCCATCTGACTGGGACCCAGGTGCACAGACTTCCGCTCGGCGACGAAACTCTTGGGTTCGGAGGCAGCTCCGATTTTGGGCGGACATTCTACGGTAGAGTTAAGTTCTGTTATGTATAATATATATATATATATGTATATACAGTATGTATATATATATATAGATATTATATATACAGTATGTATATATATATATATATTAATTAGATATGTTACAAAGGAGACACTGGACATCGTGGGCTGTGAACATGGCGAAGCTGATTGGTATACTTCGATGGACGAACTGTAGTTCGTCAACTTGATCGCAACTGACTTATCTGGGTGTCAACCCGCATAGGATCACCATCTAGTCTCATGATGTCCCATGCCTTATCCACGTATTGGTAACGTTACCGCAATGTAGTGCCCCCCCTTTTTACCGGAGCTTTCGAGCCCAGGTGTGCAGCCGAGATGGACAGATGAGATTTCAACAGCACAAAGATGGCTTCTTCTACTGGAGGTCCCTTCTCCAGACGAGTTGCAGTCATATGGGGTGACCATAGGAATCCAACTGCCATGCATCCAGCTGCCAGGCTTCCCAACGTCGATTTTTGTGTTCTATTCCTGGTCAGGTTTTTGTCGCTAGATTCGCAATCCTCCACAGCTGAAGTTTCGTAAGCTCCTTTTTTATTCGTTGTCTGGATTTTGTTTGTTAGCAACCACGATTGTTATTTACTAACAGGGATAGCATCATGAACCACTGCGAATTATGTGGTTTTATTTGGAGGAATATATTATATATACATAATTATATATATATACATGTATGTATATAGCTAGTCGAGATGAGTGGAGTACATCAACGATTCGATTTCGGTGAGTTGCTATGAGAAGTTCGTAGCCACTTTGGTTTCTTGGGATCCTCCAGTTGGGAGCTGGCCACCAGAAACATCACCACAATTGTTGTACCGTTCTGGTCGGTTCTGATACTAGGTCATGTTTCTAATCCGTTTCCCAAGTTCCCAACGCTTTGTTCTCTCACTATGTTTGTTGGCCAAATCAGCATGTGGGTTATCTAATGGTTAGTTGTATCCTCCACATTTTGGCTTACATGTTAAGTTCATCAAACGTGTTGTTTATTGCATCCACGCTCTTGTGTGTTTCAACTATTTTGGGTTGGTTCTATCCCGGGTGTTGTTAGTGCACAGCGACATGAAAGTCATGTGTCAAGATTGGGTATCCCAAAGATGGATGGTCAATAACACACATCACCAACATTTGTGGTCCCAGTGTTTGAAATTTTGACCCCACACCCGCATCTTTGTCTTGGTGTTACTTTTAAATACCCATTTTCCCCTGATTCAATGACCTTCCTCATCCTGAAACCTACGGTCCTTCCACAAAATATTGTTTCACTTTCCCACCCCTTTTCTCCTTGGTCAAGACAAAAGCATCTTCAAAAAAAACAAAAGTAAAACATTGTTCCCCCTTTCTTTGGTCAGATTCTGTGAAATCCCATGTCGGTGCCCTCTTTTTTTCCATTCCTCAAGTTGAATTCCAGCTATTCTATATGTTTCCCCATGTACTCCTTCGCCTATGCTTTGGTTAAATCAGGCTCAATATTGTTCAATCACCATTGTGCTGCTTGAATTTCGCACGTATTTGCTCTGCCGTTTCAAAATTTCTGAAAAGTATCGACTTTCCACAAAGGATTGTGTCAGATAGTTGGTGTTGTATGAAAATTGGATGCGCAGGCACCCCAAAATGTCATTATTGGTCATAATGTTTGCGCATGTTTGCTATCAAAAAGGTCTAAAAGATGCGATGATGTCCCCTCAAGTTGAAGTTGACACCCACATACTGTATGGTTATAAGTTATAAGTTAAACAGTTAATATATATATATATATATATACATACATACATATATGATGCCCTAAAATGTCACAAAACATCTCCTGTGGGTCCCTTTGGTGCCATAGTACCCTTGCCTGACCCCAAGAACCAGGACGGGTGCGGAGACCAGTTGGACCGCACTCCAGGTAGCCCAGGCAGCTCAGAATGATGGTGGTCTGATGCATTTGATGGGGAAAAAACGTGGGTTTTTATGATGGATGGTTTAATACATTTTAAAAGGTGGTGATTCCACCACTACAAGACAGGCAGCCAGAAGCCACATCCAAGTGCTTGATCCCTTTTCCTATTTGTCCCAATGGACTAGTTTTGTTTTGGATCGGACAAGAGTCGCTACCAGTATTTGTTGAACGGATAAGCTGATGTTAGACCTCTGTCAGGGTACCGAGATCATTCCACCAGGCCACCGGTCAGGATCTTTTTTAGGTTGGCCATGACAGCAAGTTTTTGAACACTCTACAAGACCAAAATTCCGTTGATTTGTATGTGTATTACTGTATTACCCAATTTAAGAGTGCTACTTTGAGGGTTAAGATGGAAAAGTGTTCTGATACTCTTGTGAGACTCAAAACAGATCAAAAAATATCCATGGAAAGTTGTTGGATGGTGTTGGTATCTAAGATATCCACAGATAATCTTAGATAGCCTTAGAATCCATAGATGGGTATGGATCAATACCTATTAATACCATTTTTAGTGGGATGAACATCCATTTACCAGCTATTTTGATGTTCACCAGGGGTACAAGGTTTTGACACACTGCCAGATATCCATCCCAGCCCAAGATATCCAGATCCAGGAGCCTCGAGCTGGTGACCTGCGAGCTCGATTTGAAGTGATCTTCGCAGGAAGTGCCACCATTCTGGCCCTGCAGGCGGATGGAAAAGAAATGGGTTATATAAGTTATATATACAATATATATTTATAATATAACGTATACATATATATATATTATATATATATAATATATATATATACATATTATATAACATATTATACATATATATATATATGATATATATATATATGATATATATATATATATGATATATATATATATATATATGATATATATATATATATATAGGATATATATATATAATGTATATAATATAACACAGCCATGGAACATGGCCATTTATAGATGATAACCATGGTGATTTATATTGAGTTACCTATTTACAATGGTGATCTTCCAGTTCGCTATGTTAAATCACCAGAGTGTCATATATATTCCCACGAAAACCTCCATGTGTGTGTGGATGAATTCTCATTTCAAGTAACGATGCCTGGATGATTTTCCTGGATGCTTCGCCCATCATCAACACTATTATTTGTGGATGATATTCCCATTGGACATGATCATATGTGGATGATTTTGCCATTAAGACGATCAGTTGGATTCATTTGGATGAACTTCAGCAGTATTCGGCGGTAAGCTGATGCCAGGATCCATCGTTAGGTTCAGAAAACGGCAAAGAGGTCAAAATAAAAGCCAGTATATTCATCGAATATTTACCAACGGTGTAAACAATGTAGAGTGGATTCCATCAATTTTCTTTACTTCCAATATGGCCCATGTGCACCAAACACAAGTCGTCGCTCATATCATTTGTATGCTATTATGTTTGTTGAATCAAATTGTGAATGGTTTTCACAATATATGATTTTAAACCATGTGTGGATCATGTTCACATGTAGAAAGAGTATTTGCATAGATGTGTTTTATTTTTCCCCCATTATATAAAGCATAGGACATAGGCAAACCAGCATCATTTACGGACCGATTTTCCATGATGAAACATTTCCCTTGATTTTCTTGGACAATTATCCCGCTGCGTAGCGGATATACTGTGGTAAACCCAGCCATGGTGGCCATTTGGGGATGGTCTATCCGGTGAGATCGGTCAGGAGTACTTGGAGATAGACAGGAGAGTCATGGTTCAGTTCATGTTTTTTTTGGAAGCCCCAAACACAAAACCAGATAATTTATCTAGACTTTCGAGCCATTCAAAGTTGTGTTTGAAATTCTCACCGTCAGAAATCTAAAGACAAAGCTCACGGACCCAATGTTGAGATTGCTGGGTTGCATCCATGGTCGCTGACCGGTTCCTGATTACAGATATAGTCAGTGGATACTACTGCAATCATCTGCAATCATTGGAAAACCATCCCTGGAAACTGGGGTACTTGGAAACGACACTGCTTACTATCACCAGCTACAGACGTTGGTCAAAACCCTGGCCCCTGAGTGAACATCCAATAAGATGAATGGTCGTTAATTTAACCACGTTTTGTTATTGGCCAATATTGCATCCATAATCAATGTTGACAAAAAATATCCATAGTAATGTAAAAAGATGGTTTAACCATGTTTCACCTACAATAGATTGGCAAGGATCGTGTCAAGATGGTGTGCTCTTTGCGCAGCCGAGAGGTGGCCAGTGATTCTCAAGGAGAGGCAACTCTTCTACCCTACAGGCATGGAAACATATTGAATTAGCCAAAGATATTTGTTTTGAATATCTTCAGTGGCTATATATATTCTTCAATATCTTCAGTCATATTGTTCCTTTTTTCCAAGCACATGTTCGGTTCACCTTAGATTTGCAGTTTTCCATCCAAGTGCAATGTTTTGGGGCCTTGTCCACCCTTTTGGGAATCTAGCGGGAGAATCTGCAAGTAGTTCCCTATGTTTTGTTCTGGGGACTATGCTCCAATGGGATGAATATATATATATATATATAACATATGTATATATATAATATATATATTATAGTATATGTATATGTGTTTCCATAATATGTAATATGACATACATATAACAGCATCACTTTTCAGAGGTAGCATATGTGGTATTTCACACCAGACAAGGTGAATGGTTTTTGGGCACCGCCTTGGGGCAGGTTGGTGCCACTTTTACCTTTCGGTGACGAGAAGCAGCTGAGGGTTCCGTGCTGAGTTGCTAGTAATCCATGCGAAAACGGTGCTTAGTGACTAATAATGACAATTGGTGATTAGTTGCTCTTAAACATCTTATTCTGGTGATTAGTTTCATGTTGTTTTCCCACTAATCCACGGATCATTTTCAGGGAATCAAGAACTATCGGCAACTGGTTGTTAGTAGCAACTGAGGGAATGGGGAATGATCCAATCCATAGCTATTGTCACAATCATCCCATTCGCCATTCATCCCATTCCCTACTGAGCACTGGCATGTGACGAGAAGCGATGCGATATGTAGAGATGAAACGATACGAACACGGTAAGTAAGTCTGTTGGAGTCTGTGGCATGTGACGAGAAGCGATGCGATATGTAGAGATGAAACTTCATAACACGGTTTTGGATGTTAAAAGCCTAGACTACCCAGTGGTGAATGGAGGGCGGTAAGGAGGGTAAATGGCTATTCATCCCTTTAATCTGTTAATCTGTAAATGGGGAGCCTCTTGGAGCTACGAATTGAGTTCCCCAACCACACAATAGATTCATCGAGCTACCGCAATGTGTGGATTATTCCCTCTAAGTCCCATGAGTGGATGGGATGGATCAACATAATATATCAAAATGAATGTTGGACAGCGGTATGGATGAAACTGGATGCTTCAATTCCATATATGTGACCAGATTATATGTGGATCCATTGGTACAGAAATTTTGAGACATCACCATGAAATTCGCGGGATGTCCGCGTTGCAAGCCGTTTAGACATGTAATTTTGATCATCCCAGTAGTTTGTAGGGATCAATTCTCAGTACGCATTCCTGCTCAATTGCAAGCATGACATGGAAGGTATCAACGTTCAGAGTGGTATTTCTTTGCTATAGAGATCATAGAGCTCTATCTCCAGTGTCCCTGAACATATATATCACAGGTCACAAATACTCAGACATGCATGACATGCAAAAAACGCATCAGCAGAGGTGCTGGGGGCCAGAATAAAGGAAAACTGGGAGGAAGTTTTGACCATCCCAAATGATCCAAAAAGCCCAAATCAGTCAACAGCGGCATATTTTCGCATAGTTTCACATTATACATGATTCATGATGCGATTTTAAATATTATGTGTATATGTATATATACATACACTGTGTACATAATATATATATATGGTCCCGTCCTCCGTCTCTCCACCCCCCCCCCCCATGGGTTGGGTCCCCAGGTAGTAGCCCCAATTCCCTTCTATTTGCAAGCTATTGGCAGCATTTCTGAGGTCCAGCGTCGTATTTGCTAGGTCTTTGCAGCATTTCTGACTACCAGCCTCGCATTTACTAGGTACATGCTACCTTTTAGGCGACCTACGTAGCACACATACTCCTTCAAAGTACCTACGTGCTACCTATAGTCATACATACATGTGCTATGTATCTACTGTATCTACTTCCTGTTTACTACCTGTGTACTCTGACAACACTACCTCTGTTGAACATATACCGTACCTACCATACATGTCAATGATGCCATGCATACCATACCTATCATATCTATCATACATACCATACATACCATACATATGAAATGTAATTACCACACCTACCATACATACAATAGCATACATACAATAGCAAGCATACATGCCATACATACCATACCTACCTTAGATAGGACATATTCCATACCCATCATAGTAGACCATACATACTGTCATATCAAACATACCATATCCAACAGACTTACATACCATACCTACCATCCATACAATACCAACCACTCATGCCATACATACCATACCTACCATACATACCAAACATACCATACTTTCCAAACATGCCATACCAGACCGACCATACACACCATACATACCCACCATACCATACCACACCCCCACCACACCACAGGGGGGGGAGGGGGACAGTGCCACACCCCCACCACACCACAGGGGGGGGAGGGGGAAGATCTCATATGGGACCAGTATATGGGACCCATCCACCACACCACAGGGGGGGGAGGGGGACAGTGCCACACCCCCACCACACCACAGGGGGGGAGGGGGAAGATCTCATATGGGACCAGTATATGGGACCCATCCCATATGGGGGGGGGGGGTGGCAGGGCCTGGTGCATATATACACATAATTGACCAGTAGTACCGCACAAGGCGGTGGCGGAAGTTTCAAAAATAGGAAACCTATAGGAGACGTTGGTTGTTGTGAATCAGGGATGGCAGAGCGAAGCCACTGACGGACCGAAAGGTGCTTGAGGTCTCCTCTCTTTCTCTCTTTTTCTCTGACTATCTACCTACCTACCTACCGATCTCTCTATGTATTTATCTATCGCTCTCTCTCTCTCTCTCTCATCTAATTACCTACCTATCTAGTGGAATGTAGTGTCGTGTAATGTAGTGAAGTGTAGTGGAAGGTAGTGTAGTGTAATGTAGTGTAGTGTAGTGGAGTGTAGCGTAGTGTAATGTAGTGTAGTGTGCCGTACTTGGGTGTAGCGGAGTGTAGTTGTAGTTGTAGTTGTAGTGTAGCGTAGTGGAGTGTAGTGGAATGTAGTGTGGTGTAATGTAATGTAGTGTAGTGTAATTTAGTGTGCTGGAGTGTAGTGGAGTGTAGTGCAATGTAGTGTAGTGTAGTGGAGTGTATTGTAGTGTACTGTAGTGTAATTTAGTGTAGTGGAGTGTAGTGGAGTGTAATTTAGTGTAGTGGAGTGTAGTGCAATGTAGTTGTGTAGTTGTGTAGTGTAGTTGTGTAGTTGTGTAGTTGTAGTTGTAGTGTTGTGGAATGTAGTGTAATGTAATGTAGTGTAGTGGAGTGTAGTGTAATGTAGTGTAGTGTAATGAAGCGAAGCGAAGCGACATCTGAACCTCCAAAAGTGGTCCGAGACCCTGGTGTTTTTTAACATTTTGACTTGGAAATGAGCTTCCCGCCGCAACGGCGTGCACTTTTTCGACATCTGAACCTCCAAAAGTGGTCCGAGACCGTCAGTTTTTAACACTTTTGACTTGGAAATGTGCTTCGCGTCACAACGGCGTGCACTTTTTCGACATCTCAACTTCCAAAAGTTGTCCGAGAATGGTGTGTTTTGTACATTTTGACTTGGAAATGTGCTTCCCGCCACAACGGCGTGCACTTTTTCGACATCTCAACTTCCAAAAGTGGTCCGACGCTGAGGTGTTTTGTACCTTTTCACTTGGAAATGTGCTTCGCGCCACAACGGCGTGCACTTTTTCGACATCTCAACTTCCAAAAGTGGTCCGAACCCCTGGTGTTTTGTATATTTTGACTTGGAAATGTGCTTCGCGCCACAACGGCGTGCAATTTTTCATCTCTCATCTGGCCAGCTGGCTCCGCACCCGCCGCTTTAGCGAGCCTACTTTTCGACCCTCCGGGGCCCCAAATCATTGGAAAAACACAGTGTTTCGCGACTTTCCTACCCTTTCGCGCATCTGCATCTTCTTTCTTCTGATCTTGTCTCTTCTGACTCTTCTCACCTCTGCTTTTCAACTGTCCATATTGTCGGAAGTTTCACTTCTAAACTTCCTTCGATTATGTTCATTTACCTGTTCCACCCTAAAAAGAATAATTATTCAACAAGATTACTTTTATTAATCGTTTGTCGTTTTTTGACTTTTTATTCTACCATTATGAAGAACCGAGCCAGCTACACATTGGAAATTTTTAAAATATTTATTTATTCATTTTTTATCATTTTGGTTATCATTGCATTCATATTTTTTTTATCATTTATTTTATCATCTTCATTTTTTTATCATTTTTTTATCATGTTTTTATCATTTTTTTCATGTTTTTATCATGTTTTTTTAATCATTTTTTATCATTTTTTTATAACAGTTTTCATCATTTTTTCTTCCAGTGGTGCAAAAATTTTCCAAGAAATGGAAAATTACAATTTTCCTCGAGTTGTTTTCATTTTTTTATCATTTTTTAATCATGTTTTTATCATTTTTGCTTCCAGTGGTGGAATTGATGAAAAATGATAAAAAGTGATGAAAAATGATAAAAAAATGATAAAAAAATGAAAAACAAATGATAAAAAAATGAAAAAAATGAAAAAAACTCGAGGAAAATTGCAATTTTTCATTTTTTGGAAAATTGCAATTTTCCTCGTTTTTTTTCATTTCTTCTTCATTTTTTTATCATTTTTTTATCATTTTTGCTTCCAGTGGTGGAATTGATGAAAAATGATAAAAAGTGATGAAAAATGATTAAAAAATGATACAAACATGAAAAAAAACATGATAAAAAAAAATGAAAAAAAAAACTCGAGGAAAGTTGCAATTTTCCAAAAAATTAAAAATTGCAATTTTCCTCGTTTTTTTCATTTTTTTCATTTTTTTTCATGTTTTTTCATTTTTTTATCATGTTTCATCATTTTTGCTTCCAGTGGTGCAAAAATTTTGCAAGAAATGGACAATTACAATTTTCCTCGAGTTTTTCTCATTTTTTTATAAAATTGTTGCTTCCAGTGGTGGAATTGATGAAAAATGATAAAAGATGATGAAAAATGATAAAGCAATGATAAAAAAAAAATAAAAAAATGAAAAAACAATGATAAAAAAATGAAAAAAATATGAAAAAAAAAACGAGGAAAATTGCAATTTTCCAAAAAATGAAAAATTGCAGTTTTCCTCGTTTTTTTCAATTTTTTTTCATGTTTTTTCAATTTGTTTTTTTTCATTTTTTTCATGTTTTTTCAATTTTTTTTCATTTTTTTTATCATTTTTTTATCATTTTTTTATCATTTTTTTATATTTTTTTTTTTCATTATTCATCATTTTTGCTTCCAGTGGTGCAAAATTTTTCCAAGAAATGGAAAATTACAATTTTCCTCGAGCTTTTTCATTTTTTAATCATTTTTTCATCATTTTTGCTTCCAGTGGTGGAATTGATGAAAAATGATAAAACATGATGAAAAATGATAAAACAATGATAAACAAATGAAAAAAAATGATAAAAAAATGATAAAAAAATGAAAAACAAATCGAGGAACATTGCAATTTTCCAAAAAATGAAAAATTGCAATTTTCCTCGAGTTTTTTTCATTTTTTTTCATGTTTTTTTTCATTTTTATCATTTTTTTATCATTTTTGTTTCCAGTGGTGGAATTGATGCAAAATGATAAAAAAAATGATGAAAAATGATGATAAAATGAAAAAAATGAAAAAACATGAAAAAAAAATGATAAAAAATGAAAAAACTCGAGGAAAATTGTAATTTTCCATTTCTTGGAAAAATTTTTGCACCACTGGAAGCAAAAATGATGAAAAAATGATAAAAAAATGATTAAAAAAATGATAAATGATTAAAAAATGATAAAAAAATGATTAAAAAAATGAAGATGATAAAATAAATGATAAAAAATGATGAATGCAATGATAACCAAAATGATAAAAAAATGAAAAAAAATATTTTGACCTGGCCCAGTCTGTGGCTGCAAGTTTTTCATAATTCTACCAGAACGGTTTTTATCGACCTCGAACGGTTTTTAACGTATCTGGTGCCTTTTGCACATATGGTTCATAAAACCCTTTTTATTTGCATGAAATCACCAGAAATAGCTGCATAAAAAGTGCTGTTTTGGAACCCTATTCTTTACGTAATATTTACGTAATTTTTGCGCAACTTGAACGTAATCGAACGTAATTTGAACGTACTTTGAACGTAATCCGAACGGTTTGGATTTCGGAGAACGGTCTTGAATGGGAAACAACGTACACATTACGGTCTTTAATGGCCCTGAACGGTTCTGAACAGTGCCATAAGGTTTGCCACATATTTGAACTTTTTCTCCAATTTCCCGGTTGTCAGGGCGCTGGTGCCTTTTTCATGAATTCACCAGAAATAGGTGCATAAAATCACTAGAAATAGCTGCATAGGAGCTCAAAATCAGCAGAAATAGTTGCTGTTTTGGGGGCTTCAAAATAGTAACCCCAAGAGGTGCTCCAATGCTTGAACGGGTTTTATCGTATAGGAGAATAATTATTCTCAAAAACACACTTTATCAATGATTATGCTGCCAAAGAATAATTATACTTCTGACATACTGTAGATGTAATGATATATTGTATATTCGCTCTATCAATGGTCCATGATCGAGGTCCAGGAGGCTCGGAAGTCACGCATTGGCCTGGCCCTGGAGGAGGGGAGCTGCGTAGCTGGGGGAAGTGTTGATGTTGGTCCTCCAAAATGGTGATTTAAACCAAGCAAAATGGTGATTCAATGGGATATTAACCAACTAAAAATTGTGCTTTAATCAGATTTTAACCAAAATGGTAATTTAATGGGATATTAACCAACTAAAAATTGTGCGTTAATCAGATTTTAACCAAAATGATAATTTAATGGGATATGAACAAAACAAAATTGGGATTTAACCAACAAAGATGGTGGCACAATGGGATATGTAACGGGATATGGGAATATCCTCCGGTCAAACGTGGCAGGCTGAGAAATCCTATATAGATGGAGGTTGATAGCTGGGAAAATCACCGAACTACATGACTATAAATAAATGCTGGATTTTCCAGCACGCCATCTTTGATTACCAGAGGGTACATACTTTTTGAATGGCAAGTTAATGGTGCTGATGCATGGCGAGTTGTTGGAATGCAATGTCTTTTGATGTAACCACGTACCATCAGACCGCCTTGGAACTGTTGAACTGATTTCTTTGTTGGTACCCGTATCTGACCGTTTCTAACCGCCACACTGCTACGTCGCGGCTTAGCATACCCATGAAAGCCCGGCTTGACCAGATGAATCTACTGCAGTTGATCCTGGACAGCAGAAAGGTCTCTAGCGGGCCATTTTTATCTGCCGGCAAGCCCCAAGCCATAAATCTCCACTAGGCCAGGGCAGTTTGAGGAGATGAAATCAGTGAAATCCCGGTTTTGGGTCTGAAGAAAAGCCTACACGATGCTTTTGACCCAGAACCAAAGATCATAAATTGCATACATATGTATATATATAATTATATATATATATATATGTATGTATACTACATATGTATGGATATGTATATAACATCCAAATTTATGGCATGAATCAATGATTCCTGCGACCATGTGTCATCATTTTCTGGGGTTAGGATGTTGGAATGGTGCGCAGTTGGTCTTGGGGTCAGGACCAGGTTTGCCCTGACAGCTGCTTATGCTTTAGTCCTGAACCCAGCTTCGTTGGAGATCCAATGGCTATGACATCATTACTCCTTCCAGTTGAAATGGCCATGTGGAGCTACACCAATACTTCACCCAAATTGGAGAAATTGATATATTTCAATCCAAGACGATCCCACATAAGGTCGTTATGAATCCATCCCAACAGTTTAACATGACCACCGTTCTGGCCATCTTTTGCATGAACAATACATGATCGCATTGACTTATCCAATGAGGAAATTATATTTCCCAACGGAAATGATGTGGGCACTGCTGTAGTACCTCTCAAGGACCTTTCCAAAGGACATTACTTGAACACATCCCCAAGGGTCTCTTCAATCACCAACAAAGAACTCATGGAGACAAGGATTTCCTTAAGATATCCTTACTCCCGAATCTCTAGGGGAGAATCCCTTGCAGGAATTCACAAGATCTCTATACAGGGACCTCCTTAAAATGAGACCTGACAGATTGGTTTGTTTCAGCATATATTGTTTTATACACCAGGATATATGCATATGTATGCCATTTGTTCATGTAAGTTATATCAGGTTTTTGTTTCAGCAAGTTATGGCAGCTGTTTGTTTCAACCATGTCAATGTATATACTACATATAAATACATATGTATACACAATATGTATATGGAGACATTTCAGAGTGGCGTGAATGGAGGAATGACATGACATAACATGAAACGAATTGAAGCGACATGAATATAATGAATGAATGCATGAATTGCATGAATGAATGAAATAAAGAAAGAAAGAAAGAAAGGATGATGGATGGATGAATGGATGAATGAATGAACGATCAAATGTACACTGTACAGTGTATATATATATATTCATTAGTTAATCAGCTTACAGTAGTATATTTAATAAGTGAACGTATTATTCGTCAACAGCGCTTGAGGTTGCAACTTCGTGGCCGGGTGCTGCACTGGTGTTACTGGGCTGATGATCCCCCCAAGGCAACAGGAATGGCAAACTTGACCACGTTTATTGTTGATGGATTTGAGGCACCAAAATTGATGTTTGTTTTATGATTTTTTGTGAATAAAATGGGCAAACCAAAGAAAAAGAGCGTAGACGGACTGGGCCATTTTGATGCAGGAACATGATGTGCTGACAAAGATCAACTTAATAGAACTGTGTATGTATCCACATTTAATTACTCATGTTTCCCGCGGCATCCCCCAATGATGTCCCATCCCCCAACTGTGAGGGGATTCGGACGGGGTGAGTATCCTAGTAATGGGAGATGCCCGCTCGTAATGGGCGATAGGGTGACTTGATTTGTACCGTTAATGCTGATTGTTGGCTTTGTGGTGGATATCTGTACGGTTTGAAGGGTGAACATGAACCAAGTTATACCATAATTATATATAATATATATATATATATATCTATATATATATAATATAATTATACATTGTTTTCCCCTTTTGATAGCAGAAACACTGGTGTCGCTTGATTCTTGGGTTATAAACGGGGATCAAGTTTGGGGAGGATTGCGATCTGACTGAAGCCACTGGACCAAGGTTGCCACGCCCGAGATCTTTCGGCTCTTTGAGGAGTCACATGGGTCAAGCTTTACGCCCGATCCATCATGATCAAAACCCTTTTCGATACCCGAAAATCCGTTCGATATGACGGTGGTTTCATGACCAACCATTGAGATGTGATTGTGATTGGAAGGCTATACAGGCTCTTCTTTGGGTGTTTGGATTATAATATACGCCTCTGACTTTGAAGGGCTTACAGACTGTTTCGATGTTTCCAAACCCCTACGATCCATACATCATTTGCACGGAATGTATGATGTCGGGAGAATATCCCATCCCTGGAGCATGTGTGAAATGGGATGAAATGGGTACATAATTGAAGAGGGAAGGTCAGGGGTTGATACACGTTCATATCCAAGATGTGATTTTTGAACATCACCCAAACAGATGGTTGCTGTCAATGCAATGTTTCTTTGTGTTTGAGTGACGTTCAGGCACAGGGCATAGCCCCGAGTGCGAAGTTGCCAAAGAATCGTTCAAATCTCACAAGCTTTGCAGGGCAACAGGCCCTTGGAAGCTTGCTTTGCGGATCTTCGAAAGAATTGCAACCTGGACGTAGGCCGGGACCCCAATGTGCACTTGGGGGCGTAGCGAATTGGACAGATTGGATGGTTCAATATGATATATACCTCTGGGGGTTTGGGATCTTCCATCATGACCCAGAATCAAAGATTTTCCCTTGAAAGACCTGCTGGAAGTCCTGAATTATGGCTCTCTCAGCAACGGTTTGCCGTTGACTTTTTGGACAACGGATGAAATGGTTTCGCTGAACCATCAACAAACATGTTCTCTGTAATGGTCCCCTCAAGTTCACCCAACGTCTTATCCAAATAACCTATAGTTATTTAATGTTACATAAATCTTACATAGTTGGACATTCCTATAGTTCTATAATGTTACACAATATATTGTAATCTAACATCTATATGGGGGGGAGGGTCCTAAAATGGAGGTACCCAAAAATTGATGGTTTATAAGGGAAATTCCACAACAAAAGGGGATCCCCTATTTCAGGAAACCCCATTAATAGTATGATCTGCGAGGCCTTGGCACTTGGACGTTTCGGCTGCTCGTGCGCTCCGTTTGCTCCGTTTCCACGTGGTGGAATTGTCGGTTTCACCGACGATATGAGGAATTGACATAAATGGAACAAGAATACATAGGGGTATGTAGGGTTTCTAATTGGTTAAACAATGTTAAACATAGTTATATAATGTTGGTTGAATACTATTAAAACAATGGATGCAACTGGCGGGCTGTTCTCAGATGGGGATGGCTCAAAACCTACGCTATTACCATATTTGGGGGAATAAACATCCATTAACCAGCTATTTTAGGGTACCTGGGGTTTTGACTCATAGCCGTCATAGCCCATCGTTGTTCGTGCAGTATCCTTCATGGGATGATGTTCTCCTATTCATCGGCGATCATATTTTGAAGGGGTGGATTGAAAACAAAACACTCTATAAGCATAAATGATGGTTGTGAGATAGAAGGGTGCAGAAAGTCCCAGGACATTTGTGATCTGACTGCTCTTACGGATTTGTCCAGAAATGGTAACCATGCGGCCATGGAAACGATCATGGCAACGTATTTGATATTGGGAAATTATACCATTTTCAGACAAACCCACATTGTTTACATCTGAAAAAATCGATGGTAAAGACGTTGGATGACCACATATTTGGACCATTTACGATCAACAATGGTTGCTGTATTTGCCAAATGGTCACGATACCAGATTCTTTTGCGCTGTTATATCCCCACTATTTGCGCAACATCCAATGGTATATATTATGGTCCGTGGTCCGGTATGTTGCATTCTCATTCAATTCCCTCATTGATTTCTCCACAGATGCCGGTTCTTGGTGATAGCCAGGTATTGTCGATTCTCGTTGCTGGAATCTACATGTCTTTCTCGGAGGTAAGATTGCTTGAGTTGGCATCAGGGGACATCTGCTTCAGGGGATGGTTTCAGTTTCAGCAGTGATTTGTGATGCGGGGGAGGGGTTAGCTAAAAAAATTACTTTACTTCGTGTGATCCCCACCATGACATTTATACATTTTCTTACTGGCAAATCTTCTGGCATTCTATCTGACATATCTTCTGACATTCTACCATATCTGGCATATCTTCTGGCATATGATCTGGCATATCTTCTGGCATATTCTGGCATTCTATCTGGCAAATCTTCTGGCATTCTATCTGGCATATCTTCTGGCACTCTATCTGACATATCTTCTGGCATTCTATCTGGCATATCTTCTGGCATATATTCTGACATATCTTCTGGCATTCTATCTGACATATCTTCTGGCATATATTCTGACATATCTTCTGGCATATCTTCTGGCATATCTTCTGACATATCTATCTGGCATATCTTCTGGCATATTTTCTGGCATTCTATCTGGCAAATCTTCTGGCATTCTATCTGGCATTCTATCTGGCATATCTTCTGGCATATTATCTGGCATTCTATCTGGCATATCTTCTGGCATATCTTCTGACATTCTTTCTGACATTCTTTCTAACTTTCTTCTGCACATTCTTTGTCCCATATCTTCCTACATGAGGTCCGGCAGGGAACACTTGGCGTGGATACTCGCGGTTGAGGTCCGGCAGGGAACACTGGGCGTGGATGGTCGTGGTTGAGGTCCGGCAGGGAACACTGGGCGAGGATGGTCGTGGTTGAGGTCCGGCAGGGAACATTGGGCGTGGATGGTCGTGGTTGAGGTCCGGCAGGGAACACTGGGCGTGGATGGTCGTGGTTGAGGTCCGGCAGAGAACACTGTGGATCGCGGGTCGCAGTTGAGCAAGGACGACGAGGACGACGACGAGGACGACGAGGAGGACGAGGAGGAGGAGGAGAGGAGGACGAGGCAGGAGGAGGCAGGAGGAGGAGGAGAGGAGGAGGAGGAGAAGGAGGAGGAGAGGAGGAGGAGAAGGAGGAGGAGGAGGCAACTGACATAAAATCTAACAACCCTCACCTGGCAGGTGGGGAACAACAAGAATAAGGAGCAGAAAGACACTACGACTGAGAGCCCTAATTAATCTCAAAACTGGATGGTTAACAAGTATGTGGCCTTGAACATGATTTGGAATGGTGGAAATCGTAGTGATTGCGCAACATACTGATATCCTTAAAGCAAAAGTTTGTTTGGAGCCCTGTAGATAAATCCCTATCTTTGGCGATTTAGTCCCCACTTGTCCGGGCTCCTCCCCACCGGCTTAGTCGCTAGCCATGGATCTCAAAGCCTGGCGAATCACTGTGACCGAAGAATTTCATGTTTTGAATTTTGAAGCGCTTAAAAAGAAAATGGTGAAACATGGTGAAACATGGTGAAACATTATGGCATATTATGGCTAGATATGGCTAGGTGGGCTGCCTTTGTTGATCTTTTTTGTTGCCTTGGCTGAACTTTGAGATGAGGATTTGGAAGTTGATGTTCCTGTTGAAGTTGGAGCTGCTTATTTCGTTCTTATAAGAACGCTGGTTCCATTTTCACTAGTTCCGTTCTCAGGGGAATAGTCACAAAATAAGTTTCTGAAATTAAACCTGCGACTGTGATCGGCTTGGGCATTACATTCCAGGACTTCGTAATAGTTTAGGTTCAGCATCCTGCTTCCAGTCTTGCGGATCCAGCTGAAAAAATCAGAAACAATGCTCGCCGCTGTTCATTTATAGACATACCACACAAATCCACACAGCAATGGCATGTCCTAGCATGTTTTGCATTTTACTACGTGATGACCCTTATGACCATTGTGACAAATTATGACTATATATAACATAAAATAATATAAAATGTCATACTCATATTCGGTTCATCCAAAAAAACACTCCGTTTCACTCTCCGCAGGCCTTTCTTCATCTGTACCCAGTGATGAACTCCGTGAAGAGCTCTTCCGCAAGGTCCCAGCAGGGTCAACGTGGCACCTCCGTTTTGGCATGGGATGATGTAGATCATGGGGGTACCCCCAAATCATCTAAAAGTAGACCATTTCTATGGTTTTAAGGTACCTCCATTTTACGAAATGTCCAACTAAAAAGCTGAAGCATCATGAAGCAAAAACATATTTGGTGATCACCAGGGTCAGAGTTGTTTAAAATTTTGATATTGCAATTTCTGATTCCAGCAATTTCATAGTAGCCCAGCCGTGACACAACAGGCCCGGAGAGCCTGCTGTGTCAGGTTCACAACCAGCCTCTGCGCGGCCCTGGCTATGACCTCTACTGTTATTGGCCGGGCACCCACAGTGTGGCACCGCTTAACGAGTTGTTTTTTTTCCCATTAAAGAGACCAAGAGACCATATTTTACAGTGTCTCCCTCCCTTTTAAGGCAAATCCTATAAGGTTATGTGATGCTTTCCTTTTGTATCGAGCTTGTTGAAACGGTGAAACCATCCAAAGCTTGGAGGGTTGAGAACGCTGACTAGTGAGGTATGCCAAGATTAGCCTGAAGAATGGGACTGGTGTTCCATGTGCTTCTTATCGTTCCACATTTTTCCACCATATTCTAGATATTGGTTCCCTCATCATTGCTGGGTTTCCACTTCTTCTGTGGGTTGTTCTAAATTCCCAGCTCGGAAGCACCAACAACTTGTGAGATGGCACGTGCGCTGCTCAGGTGTCGTTTTCTTTCCATACAAGATCGGCAAATCCTGCATTTATTTCACCGTAGCTCTGAACTCAGAACCTGTGCCGGTTATACAACAACGGGCTGTGTCCAGCACGTAAGCCGGGGCCACAATATATTGATCCTTTTCAACATGGATGGATAGCACACACACAAATATTACATATAATATATATATTATTTAACATATTTATACATAATTATAAACATGAATAATTTTCTGTATTTCAATTAATGAATGGTTTCTAAAGCCACTGCACTCAGCAGCATTCGCGAGGGTCTTATATGTTATGAATGACTGAGTTTGTGAGATGTTGTAGCATTGTCATATATACGATTACAACAAATAAACGGATCTAGATGGGCTGTTCATCGGGTTGCAGTCACCCTCTCTCCCAAAGCTATGGCCGCATAACTCATAGTTGATGCCGATCGCAGATGGTCCGGGGAAAATTGCAACAACCTGACAGTGGCCAAGCTGACTACAAGTGAAGCGGTTTACGCAGTGGAAAATAAGAACTTGAACATGCTCATGACAGTTGTGTCCTTCCTGGAGTGTTTTGCTGGGGCGTTGTGGCGAACCCATCTGTAAAGGGTCAAAACATGGGAATCATTTTAGTACTGGCCTATCCACATACCCAGCTTTCTGAAAATCTTGGTTGGATAGGTCAATAGCATTTCAATAGCTGGTTCTTATGCTCCGCAAGTGGATGAATAGTTATTTTGCGACTTTTTAAATCTAGGGCAGGGTACTCGAGCTTCGTCATGAGATGCTTTTTTCTTCCCCATGTGTGGTTTTGATTTTTTGTGGGCTAATAATGCTAATACACCGATCCATGACGATCAACAGACGTGCCATATGTTTGGCCACATTTGGGTGATACATACCTCGCGACCTCGCGTGGACCTTGCATATGAGCACCCCATCACTGCCTGTGGCTGGTTTCCCCTTGCCGACAGCAAAAACCTGGATCGAGGCAATTTTCTTCTTGCTGTTCCCAATAATCCTGATGTGCTGACGCCGCAAGCGGCGTTTCAGCAGATGAAACGAAATCACAGTGAAACGCCAACGGTGGGCTGTTTGAAACCTCAAGACCCAAACAATCCAAAATGCTGCGACGCAGTATGTTTCAAGTTGAGATTGAGTCAAGGGAAGAAATGCAGTGATTCTACACTTTTGGATGAGACGGTTTTGAATGACCCTCGTCACCGCTCAGAGCGTCGACGTCCCAGCTGAGGATGAAAACAGTGGACGGGTAAGATACATCTGGATGAAGGGATACCATTCATACGCACCGTTGAGCAACTCTTTGCGCTGTTCCAGCCCTACAAAAAGGGGTTCTAAACGATTAAACGTCACAGCTGAGATGTGTTTGATATCAGATTTCCGCAGCTTTTGCACCCAAGTCACAGGGCGGAGTTTCATGAAGCTGCCCTGTGTAGGCATGAGTGAAGAACATGAAAGAAACAAAGATATAAGACATCTAAGTTAAAAAGCGGCCACGTGCATTGTCATTTTGAAAGCCTATGGGAAGATGATCTTAATTGTTAGTCCAAAGTGACCAACCCTCGTAGACATATAACGATATATATAATATATATATATATACATACGATTCATTGAAACATTGAAATATACAATATCAATATCTCTATAGAATATACGCAATACACTAATATATATATATATGTAATATCAAGTAGCTACCAATGTCCCCAGATCCACAGATCACGATGGCAGAGACTGCCATCCCAGAGGCCGGGCGACATCTTGCGATTTCACCGACCGGTTGCCGAGTAGATTCGCAGTGGTTATGTGGATGATCCCAGTTTCCAATTGATGAATACATATATATATATAATATAATACATATATATATATATAAATAATAATAATAATAACAATAATAATAATTATATATATATATATACATGGATCTGTATGGGACAAGAAATGGATCATGTTTATCATGGTCCATTGCCAGATTTCAGATTAGATTACCAGAAGGGAACCATCCGATTTGGAGGGTGACGCTTGGTTTCCAGTTCATCCTGGGTCTTGGTCTCAGTTGTGTTGTCTTTCTTGTCTCCAGTTGCTGCCTTCTACCCAATCATCAAGCCTTTTTCTTCAAGCTTCAGAATCAACATGTTGCTTATTTGTCCTATGATTAGGTTGATGGTTGAAGGTTTACTGATTTATGGCTCATGATCCTGTTCATAGAGATCACCATCACCGATGAACCTTGTAGGTGTATCTACCAGCCCCAGCCAGTATATGGGTATTCTGTGATAAGCTTGGTATTGAGTTGGTCATCCTTCTTAGTGAGTAGGCTATCAAGACGCTATGAGGCAACTGACTCTACTTGCCAGAAACAAGCAGGTGCATAATCGACTTACGGCTCGTAGGATGTCAAAAAGCCAGTGCCAAGGGAACTAATCTTGTAGGAGTAACAGGGTCGACAATGCATATAATATGAATCGGCTGGTGCAACCAGCCAACTATTTGGGGGTTTCCTCGAATTAGGGCTACCCCAAATTACCCAAGTTATTAGACCAGTTTAGTGTTGAAACCCATGGTGACTTTGGGATTCCCCTTTGTAGGAAACCACCATTTGTATCCATTTGTTTCCTTAGTAATGAGCCTATCCCACCAGGAGACGGTCGACCTCCTGTCGTCCTTCAGCAATCTGCGATCCTTGGTGGAAGGTCCTTCCTGCAGTGATGAAGATGAGCTGCCCCGACTCCCGCCAAAGACGGCTACAGGCAGGAAAAGCCAGGGTGACACAATATGGAAATATGTGGCATATGTGGAAATGTGAGTTGAACATATTTTCACATTGTGAAGATGGGACTTTCAAGTGTGAAACCAAGATTGGACAAGGAATGGGTTATATATAAGTTATATAGCTATTTAGTCTATATAAATATATGTCTTCAAGCTTCATTTGTCTAACAAGCAATTCTTTGAGAGCGAGCAGTTGGATGAAACATCCAGCCATCGAATTAGCCAGATTGATGGTCTGGACTCATATGATCCGCGATATGCCGATATATTTTATCACTAAGACTTTTGAAGAGTGAAACTGAGTGAAACTGCTTCAGCATGTTGATGATGCTTTGTTTTCAAGTCTCATATGTCAACATACTGATATTTGATAGTGTGTACTATATGTATATATATATATGTGTGTGTCGTTATACACAAATGTTTGTATAACATAGACCCGGGCAAGCCGGCGGCGGAAGTTTCCCAAGAATAAATGACCTATAGTTCGACGCCAGCCTGTCCCGACCGTGTCCTTCCCTCGACAAGCGGCTTTTTTTTTCAGCGAGAGACGAAGCAAAGTCTTCACACTCCACACTTCGCACTCCACACTTCACACTGCACTCTTCGCACTCGAAACTTCACACTTCACACTCCACACTTCGCACTCGAAACTTCACACTCCACACTTCACACTTCACACTCCACACTTCACACTTCTCACGCTGCTGCCTTCACACTCCAAACCTCACACTTCACACTTCACACTGCGCTCTTCGCACTCCAAACTTAAACTTCACACTCCACACTTCACACTCCACACTTCACACTTCACAGTTCACACTTCTCACTTCCCACTGCTTCCCACTTGCTTTCACTTCTCACTTCGCACTTCACACTCCACACTTCACAGTCCACACTTCACAGTCCACACTTCACACTTCACACTTCACAGTCCACACTTCACACTTCACACTTCACAGTCCACACTTCACACTTCTCACTTCTCACTGCTGCCTTCACACTCCAAACCTCACACTTCACACTTCACACTCACTCTTCGCACTCCAAACTTAAACTTCACACTCCACACTTCACACTTCTCACTTCCCACTGCTTCCTTCACACTGTACACTTCACACTGCACTCTTCACACTCCACACTGCACTCTTTGCACTCCAAACTTCACACTCCACACTTCACAGTCCACACTTCACACTTCTCACTTCTCACTGCTTCCTTCACACTCCAAACTTCACACTTCACACTTCACACTGCACTCTTCACGCCCCACACTTCACACTGCACTCTTCACACTCCACAGTTCATCTCATCTGAGCTCTTCTCACCTTATCCCAGCTCATCTCTTCTCATCTCGTCCCTTCTCATATGTCATCTATTAAGCTTTCATTAATCAATTCCCAGCACTACTACTAATCACTGTCGAACCCTTGATGCACCCACTCCATTACGATTTACGAAGTCCAGCTGCAAAAGACAATAGTATTGCGCATGCAGCCGCGGCACCAAGCAACCTTGACGCAGCCATCACAATGCGATCTGCAGAGACTGAGTTGCGAAACACAATAGAAATACGCGCAACTGGGTCGGAAATTGCAGCTCCAAAACCGGATCTCGACGCCAAAGCGAAAAAAAAGACGATTTTGAAGCACTTTTCAAAAGGATTTTTAAAAAGAAAATCGCTGGCGCTAAAATGGAGAAAATCTGCTGACAAATCACTGTCGCAGCCTTCATGCAGCCACTCCAATACGATTTACGAAGTCCAGCTGCAAAAGACAATAGTATTACGAATGCAGCCGTGGCAAGAAGCAACCTTGACGCAGCCATTACAATGCGATCTGCAGAGACTGAGTTGCAAAACACAATAGAACTACGCGCAACGGCGTCGGAAATTGTAGCTCCAAAACCGGGGATCTCGACGCCAGAGCGAAAAAAAGACGATTTTGAAGCACTTTTTAAAAGGATTTTTGGAAGGAAAATCACTAGCGCCAAAATGGAGAAAATCTGCTGACAAATCACTGTCGCAGCCTTCATGCAGCCACTCCAATACGATTTACGAAGTCCAGTTGCAAAAGACAATAGTATTGCGCATGCAGCCGTGGCACCAAGCAACCTTGACGCAGCCATTACAATGCGATCTGCAAAGACTGAGTTGCAAAACACAATAGAACTACGCGCAACTGGGTCGGAAATTGCAGCATCTCGACGCCAAAGAGAAAAAAACGATTTTGAAGCACTTTTTTAAAATATTTTTAAAAGGAAATTATTAGAGCCAAAATGGAGAAAATCTGCTGACAAATCACTGTCGCAGCCTTCATGCAGCCACTCCAATACGATTTACGAAGTCCAGCTGCAAAAGACAATAGTATTACGCATGCAGCCGTGGCAAGAAGCAACCTTGACGCAGCCATTACTATGCGATCTGCAGAGACTGAGTTGCAAAACACAATAGAACTACGCGCAACTGGGTCGGAAATTGGATCTCGACGCCAGAGCGAAAAAAATACGATTTTGAAGCACTTTTTAAAAGGATTTTTAAAAAGAAAATCACTGGCGCCAAAATGGAGAAAATCTGCTGACAAATCACTGTCGCAACACTTGCAATCCCATTTACACTGCGGGAACGATCCTACAGTTGCAAAGCACAATGGAATTCCATCGGCAACTCATCCACCAGCACCACTTGCAATGCCATTTGCATTGCGGGAACGATCCTACACTTCCAAATCACAATGGAATTCCATCGGCAACTCATCCACCAGCACCACTTGCAATCCCATTTACATTGCGGGAACGATCCTACAGTTGCAAATCACAATGGAATTCTGTCGACCGCAAATGCACGAAAAACACTTGAAACCCCATTTACAATGCGGAACCGATCCGAACATGATCCGAGCATGATCCGACCACACACGAGACCGTCTCGCACCCGTCGCACCGCAGAGGTAGATCATCGAGGTTCGGGGACGGACTTTGTATGGAAAAACATAGGCTTTCGTGCATGTGCTATCTCTCAAAAACGCATTTCGTGCGAGACTTCCTTCAAAACTCCATCGGCAACTCCTCCACCAGCACCACTTGCAATCCCATTTACAGTGAGGGAACGATCCTAGAGTTGCAAATCACAATGGAATTCCATCGGCAACTCATCCACCAGCACCACTTGCACCCCCATTTACAATGCGGGAACGATCCTACAGTTGCAAATCACAATGGAATTCTGTCGACCAC